GTGCTGCCAGTGTTTTCAGCAATGTCTTTAAGGTTGAAATACTCGAGTTTTGCCTTTACGCTCATGCGTCCCGGACAGAAATCACGAAACAATTTCATGATCACCTTGTTGATGGATTTTATGAGCACAAACAGTATGTGGAAGATAAATTTGGTAAAACGGTCAGTGTCAATAAGCTCGGTGAGGTACTAACTGCGTAAGAGTTTCGAATACTTCTCGCATATTGTAGAGGTCAATTTTACCACCTGGAGCTTCTATACGTTACTCAATCGAGAGCAATGGGATAGATGCGAGCAAGAAGAATGTATCGAGTAATTCACTTGATGCTGGGTAAGATCTTGTCCCTCTAGCTCATCACTCACATTCAAAATTCTTTGCCAGAAATTTTTTTGGGAAATCAGAAACTTAACTGCATAAATATTTACTTGAGATTCTTTTAACTCAAAAAATTGCCTGTTCAGACTCAGTGGTACTCTGAACCTGCGATCTCGAGGAGCAGCGATCGGCTCAACCATGCTGAGCATGTTAACCACATCTAGGAAATCAAGCACGCATACAGCGGGATCCATTTCCAACTCAACGTCGACTTTGTAGCAAACACCGCTAACCCTCTTTTTGTGCTCCTAAATTCAACTTTAAGGGCTAATAATCGAACAACATCCGAACGTTTCGATGCAGCGCGAGTATTTGCAACAATGAGAAACAGTAGTATGGACTCGCTCAAATCGCCAATACGAGCAAATAGGCGTCCTACTGTTGATGGGATTGAAGGTCAACTGAAAGCTTTTGCATTGCTTTATTTAACAATTGCTTTGCAGATAATATTCGAATTTTTTAGGTATAAGACTCCGTTCACGTGCTCGACGAAGTGTTGATCAGTCTTCTGGAGCACCGCCGCTTCCACCGCGAACTCACATTGTGAAAACGAATGATGCCTTATTAGATGACAGAAACTTGCCAGTGCTCAGATACAGCAAGGTAAGGAATGATTCTCAGATTTTCAACGTATCTTTTTTGAAGAACTGACGAATATTTTGCAATATCGAAAGTTCTCATTCTGTACAAAAAGAGACGAGGAAGTATTTTTTTGCTGAAAACTGCATTGGCTTGCTAATGCTCTATGCTAAAGCATGTGTTGGGTGTCCTCCAAGGTAAGGATCTTTGCGAATACCTCTCTTCGCATTGGCCGAGAATACGGCGCGGTTGCGTCGCAACACTCCGTATCGTGAGCGACATCTGCTCAAAATTTTATTTTATGCTTTTTCCTTCTATAAACTTTACGGAATGAAAAATAGCTTGGAGCTGGGATAGGAACATAGAGAGGGATGTGGGCCTAAAGTGGCTCCTAACTGGCATGTCGCAACGCAACAGCTTGCCCCC